AGCGGCCTCACCATAAGTATTTGAGAGCATTCGATGAGCCTCAGCCGCAGATTTCTTCATATTGAAGCAAAAAATTAAAACCTCCCGCAAATGACGAAAATTTGGCTCGTAAACTGACATTTTCAATCGAGAATAACTTTATGATGCAGACACAAATCGACTAATGTTTCTATGGGGTTATGTTGACAGATGCTCAAGTTTATTGTATGACGTCTATGATCTATTTATTTCGACCACCACTTACCGCTAAAGCTATCTATAGGAAAATGGCGGAAGCAAAATTGTACACCTAATACATTTCTTTAATTTTCAAAAAAAATAGAATTTAAATTATAAATTTTACATAACATTATTTTAAAATTTATTAACTTCCCTTAAAAGTGACCTATTTTTTTAAATTTTGCCCATTTCTGCATAGATTTCTATTTATCCAAAATGAGTTTTGTATCTCATAATAGGGACCTTTCCTCTAATACTAAAAACTATTCTATATCCTTTCTTGCTTGAGGTAAGAGAAAGATTGAATGAATTGTGCTTCGCATGGAAAACATTCCTTGGCACATGAGAGAAGTGAAGTAAAACCCGTTTCACGTGAAAAGTAAAGCTGCATTCAAAAATTATGCCTAGCTAGTATGCATTTTTGTTATAATATACATAACGTAACATATAGCTTAAAGTTATCTGGACGTAATTCTTGAATGCTCTTTGGCAAGAGAAAGGTGGAATGAAACTCGCTTCGCATGGAACGTTGTACGCTTCTAGGCAGGGAGAGATGAGATAGATTTCCCTTTACGTTGAAAGTCGTGCGCATCGAAACGGGGGGAGGGAGGGGGGATGGGAAACTCACTTCGCTTAGAAAGTCAGATGCTCCATGACAAAGGGGGAGGTGGAGTGAAACTCATTTCGTTTGGAAAGTCGGATGCTCCATGGCAGGTGAGAGGTGGAGTGAATTTCGCTTTTCGTGAAAAGTCGTAACAGGGCGAGTGCTTCTAGACAGGGCGGATGATGTGGTAGATCTCTCTTTGCTTGGAAAGCTATTTTGCAAGGAAGAGTACAGAATAATTTTTAATATGATGTATAGCAAAAATAAGTAAGTAAATAAATTACTTTTTCAAACATTTTTTGCTAATATATAAAATTTTTAATGAATAAACGATGACTGAAACTTGTTTAAAGTTACTCAGGATGATTTTGAATATATCAAATAGTAACAGCATAATAACGATAAAATAACAGCATAGTAATTCCTTCATTTCTTGTATGCATACACAAAAAATTGATTAACAATAGCTAAAAAGAATTTTATTATTTCATCATGAGTTAGCGAACGTATAAAAAATTTGTCTCTTTTGTGTTAAAATTTTGTGTTAAATAACATATTTCATGGAGGATCAAATAGATTCCAAACAGTTGTGAGATGTCCTTTATTAGTCATTGTTAATCAATTTTTTGTGTACATGCGTGTAAGGAATGGAAGAATTGCTAATGTTATTTTTATCGTTACTGATAATTATTCACAATAGGGGACTCTAGAGATTCTAAAAGTAGAGATCGGCCAAAGCCCAGCATGATGTTATGAAATCACGTGATCTTGGAAATGTGCGCCAATATATTAACGACAATTTCAATGAGAATCTTAACAACAAGCTTATATCGCTTTTCTTTCATATTCGCTTCTCTCACTCTCACATCCGGTTTCACAACAACATGGCAAAGCCAATCATGGATCGAGTCGGCATTGGCTGATCTCTACTTTTAGGATCTCTAAGAGACTCCTTCCTCCATTGACCTTGATTTTGACATATTGTCATGATCTTGAGTGACCTCCAACAAGTTTTAGCTGTCGTTCGTTATTCATTATAAAGTTATTAACAGTTAAAGTTAGTAATTATTTCTTTTTTTTTTACATGAAAAATCAGATAACTCTAAGCAGGGAGAGAGATACGGAATAGACCGATTAAAGAAATAGGACTTTCCATGCGAAGCAAGTTTCACCTCACCTCCTCTTCTGTCAAGGGATATTTGACTTTCCATGAAAAGCAAAATCTACCTGAATGAAAAGTTGTATGCTTCTTGATAAGAGAGGAGATGAAGTAGAACTCGTTTCGCATATTCACAAACTATTCAGTCGTACGCCCTTTGGCAGGGAATGGAATTCGCTTCGTGCGCGCGTGGAAAGTCATGCGCTCTTAGACAAGAGGAAAGTAGAACTCGCTCTGCGTGAAAAGTCGGATGCCCCTTAGCAGGGAGAGAGACGGACTTGAACTTCATATGGAAAGTCGTAAAATATATTTTAAAGCAGAAAATTTGTTTTATATAATTGAAATAAGACATGATTTAAAAAAATTTTTTTTATAACTTTTTAACGAATAACGAGCGATGGTTAAAACTTGGAAGTTAGATAATATATGTCAAGATCAAAATCATTGTTGGTTACTCTAATGTAGCATAATACCCCGTTATTTTATGATAACAATATAATAATGACATTGCAATTTTTAGGACTATAATGATAACTAACTAAACGCTGAAGTTGCGCTAAGATTAAAAAAGTTACTTTGAAGAGTAATTTGTCATCATGCGTTATTTACTGAAAAAAATATTAAGTAATCTGTAACATCGAGGAATTATTTTTCTATATTTACAGTAGCAATAAATAAAAGTAATTAATTATAAATAAAAGGTTTATACCTTTTTTTAGCAATGAGACTGACAATGAATGATTTTTCCAACCCATTAAATATCGTCACAAAAAATTCGTAAATTATCATTACCAAACTGTTATCACAAAAAAGTAACAATAAAAAGTTAACCACGTTACAAATAATGCGTACTTCTATTACCTGTGTGCACTGTGTGTGCATATAATTATCTTTGCCAATATATTGAATTAGAGAAAAAGTCTTTTTACAAGTTGAAGCATAATTGAAACAAGTATTTTTTAAATTGTTTACAAATCTCTTATTAAACCAAATATCTGCTGTTTTAATCGATGATCTTTTGCCATTTTTCAAGTAGAGCCATTATTCCATCGGTATAGAATTTCTGTGATTTCTCGATAGAAAGACCGAGATAAATGATATTCGCAAGCCTTTTTTGAAGTCAAATTTACTCTATTAAGTTCTGCAAAAACCGAAACAAATGGTAATCAAATGGTGCAAGAAGGACTATGATAGATTCATCAAAAGTTTCTCTCAATTTTTATCGAGTCATTAAAAACGTGTGTGGCTTAGCGTTGTCATGATGAAAGACAACGTATTTCTTTGATCAGTTCTCGCCGCTTTTCTTGAATGGACTGCTCTAATCGCATTAGTTTTTGACAGTAAAGATCAGATTAATTATTTTGCAACACTTCATAATGGACGATTCCTTCTCAGTTCCACTAGACACACAGCATCACCTTCTTTGGCGTCAATCTAAGCTTTGCGATTGTTTGTGATGCCTCATCTTGTTTCAACCACGATCTTTTTCGAATATTATTATCATATATTCACTTTTCATCGATGATTATCAATCTTTTCAGAAAAAACTTAATTTTGTTTCAGTAGGGATTTACAAATAGAAATTCGATTCATTAAATTTTTTACTGTCAAATTATGTGGAATCCAAATATCGAGCTTTATCCAGTCTTACGCAAGTATCCCAAATGGTTTTATGATTAGTTCTTTAGCACAATAGATCGATTAAAATGATGTGCATCTTTGATATCTCACAGTATGTAATATTATAGTCATCTTATAATAATATTACAAATTTGCTGTAATATTGCAAAATATGTCAGTAATATTGTATAAATATCACTACAATATTAAATATCCGAGATAAATTTATTGCAGGAATATTTTTGAAGTATTTTTGTAATATTGCTGCAATATTATGATATATTACAATCATCATTAATCTAGTTTTATTAATTGCTAAAATATTATTGCTTAATATTACACTCTAAAGTATATATGACAAAGTCATAATAAAAAAAATTAAAAATAGGAGAAAAATATTGAATGTTGGAGAAATGAAAAAATTGTAAATGAATATTAAATAGAATTGTAATAAATACAAATAAGATATAAGACATACTACAGCTTATTAGTATCCATTGCGAATTATGTTCAATCTATATTTCTAATTTTTTTTACACTTAATATTTATTTATTTAGTAATAAATCAAAACATAATATTATTCATATCTTATGTTAGAAAGATATCACTGCGGTAAAAAGCATTGTAATATTTCAATGCTGTTGCAGTAATAATGCAATGCGATAAACTGCAATGTAATAATTGAATGATATTGCTGTATTATTATAGTGCGGTATTGCAATCATTAAATGATATTGCGATAATAATGCTGTTTCGAGATATATCGTATTGCAATATTTGGATGATATGACAGTAACACTGTATTGCGATATATCTCACTGCAATATTTATTGTAATATTGCAGAATAATATATCATTGCAGCTTAACAAAATTATTGCAATATCTCAGTATTTACATAATATAGCATTTCAAGTTACAATATTACTGCAATATTGTAATTTCACTGTATTATTGCAATATTACATGCTCTTCATCGAAATTTCCATCTCGAAATCGGCGCTGCTGTTTGTCTAGTTAGAGTATCCTCTCGATGAATACGATAAATTTTTTCTTACGCAGCGTTTTTCCCTTTTTTATAATAAAAAAGTAAAATTTGTCAGAAATGTTCCTAATTTTCACTCATTTTCCAATTTGATTGAATGCGTATCGTTTAAATCTATGATCAATTTATTTTAAAATGTTGTATGAAATAGCACCTTTCCATATATAATCTAATGCGTCACACAATAGTAAAAAATCGACTAGATTTCCATCTATTACATGTAAAATCTGCTACATATAAAAGACTTTTTCCCTAATCCAATATTATTATTGGTTAAATATTTTGTCACTTAGAACATTGTTGTCACTTATATTTTTGAACCGTTTTACTTTTGCTCTTTTCTTTTAATTTTAGACACTGAATACAATATCAGCAGAAAAAAACTCTACCATCGTGTTTCCGCTACCAATCGATATGATGACATACTTTATGAAAGCTTTACCGAAGGAATAATTATGTGAAAAAGAGAAAGGAAGAAAGTGTCACGTTTCGCAGGATACAACGAGGGAGAAGAAGATTAACAACTTTTCTGAAGTTTTATGAAGGATGTTTGGCGATTTATTCGTATATTTGACATGCTTGCGTATTACATTCATAGGCTGTGTTCAGGGAGTATGCTATCAGTGCTATTATAGTTTATTCTTTTTTCACTGGCAATGCAACCATAAAATAGACATGATGGACAAACTGAGTCAAAATATCAATATACTACACTAAAATATCAATATACTTAATTACAAGTTTTGATCAATAGCAGTAGCGATAGTTCTTCCAAAGAACTTATTTGTTTCTAGAACTAATAACTATTTTTTACACTTTCTTTATTCGATGCTATATCGCACTGTAATTGCATTTCGAGAGCTACAGTAATCGCAGTGGAAATATGGCTATTACTTATGCAGGATTGGCAACGTTACCTCAGAAAAATAACTAGCGATTCTTCTTCCTAAAAAATAATTCATTATCGTTATTCATTATTGATTTGCAAAAGTATAATAACTCATTACCGTTATCACTCAAAATGTGACAAATCGTTACCTTTTTGTTACTTTTTTCATATTTTTTTTCATATATAATAGAATATTACCATTTTTCGTTGGTAGAACTTAGTGCACTTAAAAGCTGTTGTACACAAATTGATGTAAAGATGTTTAACAAAAATATAGAAACGAATTATATCTCGAAATCATCAATATATTATGCTATTCGATAAAATATCGAATAGCTTTGAGCATTTTATCAATTGAGATATGTCATTTTTACATTCAAATTAGAATAATGTAGTGCGCACTAATTCTGCCAATGAAAAACGCTATTATATGAAAAATGTTATTATTTTTTTTTATTGCAAGAGGAGAAAAATCTTTGTAAGCCCATCCGAGGATGACCCAGAGAGACGTTCCCGGATAGGAGAGAAGATACCCAGGACCCGAGATCCCTGGGCAGGATACGGCTGCATCTCTGAGGATGATTGTCTCTAACTACTGAAAAATTCTCCCTATGCGCAACTATTATACAAGTAGTGAGGAGAGTGCCCCGGAATCGCCTACTCGGCATTTTATCAGGGCAATATGCAGATTTTAGAATAAATATTCTAAAGAGAAGTCAAAATTCTATCTTTTAGTAAAGGAATAAAGTTAAAAATTTGATAAGTGTGTGTGTGTGTGTGTGTGTGTGTGTGTGTGTGTGTGCGCGCGCGCGCGTGTGCGTGCGTGCGTGCGTGCGTGCGTGCGTGCGTGCGTGCGTGCGTGCGTGCATGCGTACGTGCGTGCGTACGTGCCTGCGTGTATGTGTATTTTATATATATATATATACAGTTTAGTTAGGACTAAAATTTTTACGTGGCTAGAAATAAAGTAACAAATAAAAGTGATTAGTGAATTATTACCATTACCTCCAAAATATAATTTAATATATGTTATTATGAAGAATTACGTTATCAGAAGAAAATATAACGTCGTTATCCATTCGTTATTGAAAAGAGTAACTTGTAACAGTAAGGATGTTATAAGTTATTTGTCAATCCTGTATTTATAATTACATCATTAATGGAATTAGATGCTGTCACAGCTCATTATATGATAGTAATTTTCCAGTACTGCCAGTATTGGCAATGTACACCAAAATATTCTTGATGAAAATTTTTTGTATAATGAGGAACGATGAAATATTATTGAAATTGTAATGATTAGTGTTAAAGTATTACTGAAATTGTACCCAATCAGAGACGTTCATTTTACATCGAAGAGATTGATGGCTGGTTAATTGATTTCGACATCAATCTACTATTGAATCGATTTCTTTTTAATTAAATAATAATTAGCAAATGTATACATGCAGTCAAATATTTATATGTATATAATTATTATGTATTTACACTATTTCAAGCAGTTATAAAAGTTATGTCATTATTCAAACTAAGTCGGTTTTTTTAATAGATACATTTGATTATCAATCTTTTCAACGTGGAATATCACTTTTCTGACTAAGATCATATGCATCGGGTATATATCAATTGTTCACATCGCTAATTGCCAATTAGTAATTAGCTAAAGGGCCTCGGTAGCTAAGCTTCGGTAGTCTAAAGGCTTAGGACGCTCTCACGGAATGCAAGAGATCCGTGTTCGGTTCCCAGCCGAGGTAATATTTTTGGCAATAAGAATTAATTATTTACAAATTTTAATATGTCATTCAATATTATTAAGAAGATGCGAATAAACATCAAAAATTTGTTAAATTGCTAGTCAATTTAACTCGTGATTACTGCGGTAATTTAATAGAGTTAGCGTTTCAAGACCGAAAAATTATTTCGGCGCGCGTTTCTGGGGACTACATATAATACGTAGTATATAAATTCGCATAAGAATCAAGCATTAAGATCCAGCCGTTTAAGGTTTCGATTTCTATAAGACCCGATTATATTATTACACATATACGGTCCTACAATATAATATATCCTAACAATATAATATATTATATTGTTAGTAATTAGCTAATTTAAAATATAATTTCATTGATAAAGCAGTTAAAACTTACTAGAAACCGATCGATGTGAGTGATGTGTGCAATTGAACTGTACGTTACTCTCGCATGCATCTTAGTGCTATATCACGAGTACCTAACGATAGTTCAATTGATTATCACCAATCAGGACAAAGAAATCTGTAAACGTACGTTTTAGATTTTAATTACATTCATCCATTTTTTATCGCATGACAAATTTTTCAAGTATATCAATTATTATATCAATTATTATATATATAATATTGGCTGCAGGACTAAGAAATCCGACAACTATCTCGCAGCCAATCAACGTAATGAATAATGATAAAATTATTACTGAATTTCGTATTGAAATTGTATTAATTGACTCATTTTCAGTATAATTTCATTAAGATTTTATTATAATTCGTTAATATTTTATAAATAATTCAATACAAAATGTTATTTAGTTTCGTGTTAGTACAAAAACACAATGCATGTACTAAACTATATGTGAAAATCATGTACAAATGTAAACATAACTGCAGATAATCTGAGCTTCAATTATATAGTTCTGCTTATATAGAAAAGAACAACTAACATGCGAGAACTGATATCATCTGATATCGGTTCTCGAAAGCGATGGTTCTAGAAAGATGAATTCAATGTTTTTTGTTATAATATAAACTGATTTTCTTATTTTTCAATAAATTTCAGTATTTTTTTCAGTTATTAATTTCAATATTAATTAATTTTAATTTTAGTGTTCCTCTTTTGATAACTTTCATTAATAAATCTATAAAAAAATAATATATATATTTAAAAAATAATATATATTCTTTTCAATTTCATTTTAAAATATTTTCATTTTAGAACTCATAGTATTTCAGCATATTTCAGTGTACTCTAAACAGTAAAAATATTATGTTTTACTTATTTCATGCATTTTCAAAAATATTTTTAGGATTTATGACTTCAACATAATTCGATGTTTAATTTTTCTAAAGAATCTGTATAAACATTAAATATATTTGCATTATTTTTTATTATTTATTATACTCTTCATTATAATTATAGTATAATTTCAGTATGATTTCAATTTCTGTGAATAAATCAGTACGAATATTAAATATATTTGTATTAGTTTAAACATAATTGTATTAGTTTTTATTACTTTTCATTAATTTTTTTTTCATTATGTTTTAAATTCATAATATTTCCATATTAAAAATATTATTTATGTTAAAATATTTTCAATAATATTTCAGTCATTTTAATTTCTCATTTCAATGATTTTATAGAATACTTAAGAGATTTCAATGATTTATTTTCATCAGGAATATATCCATTATTCTATCTTTATCGATAGATAGACATAAAACAAGGAAAAACAGATGCGATGATAGTATACTTCTCGAACGCAGCTATAGTATAGATAAACGAAAAGATTTTATAGACAGAACAATTGTCTCCCGTCTATAAAAAAAATGATGTCAGCGAATTGTATGACTATAACAAGAATGTAATACCATTGACATATAGACTGGACTGAGTGCCGCTTTAAACAGCTGGGCATCTGCACTAGAATGAATGCAGTTCGCGGAATTAATGCTTTCCAACTCTGTTTTTGCATTGTGTGTTACTTTCTATTTTGACGTTCACGATTGTGTACACACACACACACACACACACACACACACACACACACACACACACACACACACACACACACACACACACACACTTACGCACGCACGCACGCACGCACGCACGCACGCACGCACGCACGCGCACACGCACACACACACACACACACACACACACACACGCACGCACGCGCACACGCACACGCACGCACGCACGCACGCACGCACGACATGTGCAGGGAAAACTATAAATGATTTTTCGACTCACAAGGAAAACATCAGGTGAGTCGGAAATTTTTATGCGCTTTTTTACAGGCTGTTCTTTAGCGAAAAAAAAACGTGTCTGACCGTTTCAGTCATTAGCCTATAGTTTCGAAGAAATTAATTTTTTTATTAGGTGTACAACTTTGCTTCCGCCGTTTTTTTTCCGAAATTCGAGGCTTTATTATAAAAAACTGGTTATACATTTATGATTCAAAGTATTGTCCATCGCTGGCCACTACTTTCTCCCATCTTTCGGGTAGCGTACGAATCCCGCGTCGAAAAAACTGGTCATCTCTTGAGGCTATCCACGAATCAATTTTTTACTTCTTCATAAGACCGGAAGTGCTGGTCAGCCAGACCGTGTGCCATTGATCGAAACAAGTGATAGTCAGAAGGAGCAACGTCTGGAGAATACGGCGGGTGGGGTAGGACTTCCCATTTCAACGTTTCCAAGTATGTCTTGATCACTTTCGCAACATGGGGTCGAGCATTGTCATGCTGCAAAATCACTTTATCGTGTCTCTCGTTGTATTGCGGCCGTTTGTCTTTCAATGCTCGGCTCAAACGCATCAATTGCGTTTATTTCGATACCGATCGCCTGTGATTGTTTCAGTCGGTTTAACAATTCATAATAACTACGCCGAGCTGGTCCCACCAAATACAGAGCATGACCTTGGACGTCAAAATCATCGTTCTTGAAGCGTTGAAACCACTCACGACACGTTCTTTCACTAATAGCGGCCTCACCATAAGTATTTGAGAGCATTCGATGAGCCTCAGCCGCAGATTTCTTCATATTGAAGCAAAAAATTAAAACCTCTCGCAAATGACGAGAATTTGGCTCGTAAACTGATATTTTCAATCGAGAATAACTTTATGATGCAGACACAAATCGACTAATGTTTCTATGGGGTTATGTTGATAGATGCCCAAGTTTATGATATGACGTCTATGATTTATTTATTTCGATCACCACTTACCGCTAAAGCCATCTATAGGAAAACGGCGGAAGCAAAGTTGTACACTAATAATAATTATTGTAATAATTTGAAAAACATACTGTATAAATGAAAATCAATATCCTCATAAATTTTATTTTAACTTAATATTATTAGTTTTAATTACTTCTT